AGCTTCACATTAGGATCTCTGGGGAAATTTTAAAAATGTCCCATGTTCAGAGGCCACCCCAATCAGCTGGATCAGAATTTCTTTGAGTAGAGCCTGGAGAAGGGTATTTTGCAAAAATTCACCAGGTGACTCTAAGTGAAAGGTCAGGATCCTCAAAGTGTGGACCCTGGTTCAGCAGTAATGAGCCTGGAGCTTGGTAGAAATGCCCAGTGTCAACACCTACTCTAGACCTATAGAAATAAATGCAGACCTATCTGTATTTTAACAAGCTGTCTAGGAAATACAGATTTGAAGTTTAAAAAGGCGTGAGGAAGAATCTCTCTCTCTCTCTTAACATTGTGTTCACTTTATTGTTACAAGGACTCACTGGCTCTGAGAAAGGGTTATCTTTTGGTGTGGTGACTTACTGCTCCTTAGAAGACCAGGGAGTAACCACTGTGTGAATGACCAAGTGAAGCAGAGGCCAGTGCTAATGGAGAATGCCATTCAAGTCCCAAGGTCTCTGTTTACGACCTAAGCTCAAGTTTCCCCTGCAACAAAGATTGTATTTGGAAGCTCCTTTTGTTAATTCTTCTTTAGAAGACTTCACGTAGGTTCTTCTAAGTTGACAAATGCCGTAGATCAGAACCAGAAGTTTCTTGCAGAGGAATCTTCAGGAAAGAATATCTCTTTTAGGAAAGAAGGTCTAGATCTAGATTAAGAGATAAATCTACAAAGATGGATCTAAATACAGATTAATAAAATTTTTTAAAACAAATAACATTTGGATTTTAGCAATGTTTTCTGTTGCATTTAAATTTATTTTTCTTATATCTGAGTAAAATTAAGTTGACTGACTTTTACATAGCATGCATAGAATGATCGCATTACAATAAAAGTTTTTCACCTAATGTTATTTATGATTGGTGAGATTTGAGGTGTTATTTGAATATTCTCCTTCTGCACTGTTGAAATTTCTGGAAATGTAAATTATTCTTCCAAAAATACTAACGTTATTTTTCTAATTAAAAAAAAAAAAACCCTGGGGGTGCCTGAGTGTCTCAGTCGGTTAAGCACCTGCCTTTGGCTCAGGTCGTGATCTCACAATTCATGGGTTTGAGCCCTGCATTGGGCTCTCTGCTGTCTGCACAGAGCCTGGTTTGGACCCTCTGTCCGCAACCCCCACCCACCCTGCACACCTCCCCTGCTTATGCACTCTCTCTTGCTTTCAAACAAACAAAACAAAACAAAAACAAAACCCCTCAATTCGTTAATTTGATCAGGATGATCAGAATCTGTGCACCAGCTCACAACAACCAAATTCACAGAGACAGTGAATCAGAATTGCAATACATTAATTAACATACCCATTCCTAGATCTAAGATATGTCATCCAGACAAGGCACCTACTTTTTGGTGACTATATTTACTCAGGACTCAAAACTACACACGAGAGGGCTACTTAATGAACATAGAATTAGAGAAAAGGCAGTGAGTCTTATCTTCTTAGGAAATTTCCTTGAAACTATCATTGACTAACTATCGTTCAGTCTTTCACTGAAGTAATTATTCTTTCTAAAGAACTGCTTTCTCATCCTAAAATCAAAACTCCATCTTCCCATCCTAAATATTTACCATAAGTTACAGTTTCCCAAGATTATGATTGATATTGCTTACACTGGAAGAATTTCCAAATCACAAATGCAAAAAGACCATTTCTGGCAAGATTGTTTTCAATCTCAAACATAAATTTAACATCGATGGTAAGCTACAATATCAGAAGTTTGCATCTCATACTTATCTCTAAAATCTTGGATTTATCTCACTTGGGGGTTGTTTGAACCTTCTGTGTACTAAATACATCCTGTTCACTGGAACAAAAAGACTACACACAGTGTAAGGAAGTGGAGCCTGTGGGGCTTTTCTTCATTTTAAAGATTTAATGAAAAATGTAAGTCAAATTAAATTCCATCCAAGGCTTGAAAGGTGATTAATTATTGTCAGTATATCTCATATCTTTGTTTATTAAAAAGACATAAACATTCCACTCCTTTCTTGCATTGGCCTGCATTGAACTCTTTCATGGGGGAGATGGGGACAAGAGACTTTACACTCTACTAATATAAATGCTACAGGATATGTACGTGTCATAACTTAGGAAGTCAACTCAATATCAAGAGATATTTTTCCCTGTGGAAAGACTGTCTCCCTCTAAATTTTAAGTAACTAAACCATGATGTATCAACTAAATTTAAGTTTTTAAAAAATTATTATTCTAGGGGTGCCTGGGTGGCTTGGTCAGTTGGGCATCCAACTTTAGCTCAGGTCACGATCTCATGGTTTATGAGTCTGAGCCCCATGTCAAGCTCTGTGCTGACAACTTAGAGCCTGGAGCCTGCTTCAGATTCTGTGTCTTCCTCTCTCCCTGCCCCTCCCCACTTGCTTGCTCACTCTCTCTAAATAAATAAATAAACAAACAAACAAACAAACTTATTATTCCATTAAGTTTATGTATATAGGCATTGAATCCTACCAGGTTAGAATCCTAATTCTCCTGTTTTCAAACTAGAGACTCAGTGTAAAACAAAAACCCTTTATTTCTTTCATTTATAAAACAGAAACATCACTTACTTTTTAGGGTTTTCATAAGGTTTGCAAAGTAATATTAAATGTTTAGAGTACATACTAGGAGGTCAATAAATGAAATCCATTTGATAATCAAAGATGTTTAGAAGTGCTCATCCAAATAAGAGTTCATCAAATTTTCATTTGAGAGAAGCTTTTCTCCTGTTTCCCATTTCTCACATCACTGGCCATGCTTGGAGTAGGTGATCAGAAGATAGAAAAGGTATTGGTAATATCTTAATCATTCTCAATTGAGATTCAGATGTAAGCACAAACATACCCACTTAAGTTTCCTTGGTTATCCCCCTAGGAATGAATGCATTGGGATAATGCATACAAACACATACATATTCATAATGTATTTTATACATTAATACAAAACAGTCAAGGATATGCAATACGTTCATTCTCCCACATCTGTGGTGGTTTCTTTTATTCTTCTGTTTTTGCTTTCTTCCTATTTCCTCCCATCCCTTATGAATTTGGGCTCTCTTCTCACTCTACTTCTTTTTATTGGAGAAAACAGCCTACGCTATGCAAATGTTTCTCCAAGTTCTAATTCTAGTGAGTATCTTTTTCCAGAACTACATACCTGCTTCCAACTACCTGTTTGGCATCTCTGTCCTGATGGCACCCTACACTGAATATACCCGAAGCTGCATTCATCATCTTATTCCCCCCAAATTGGGACCTCCTTCTGAGAATCTTATGTCTAAAATTAGAAATGAGATGGTTTGGAGTCTTCCTCTACTGTTACCCTATGTCTAATCAGTTAATCATAAGTCCTTCACCGTGATGTCTTAATTATCTTGTCTCTCCTTCCCATTCCCATTTCTACCTTTCTACTGAGAGAGTCTTACCTCGATTTTTGTAACAATCTCCTACTTTCCCTACCTCCAGCCCCTTCCCATTACAATCTGGCCTACACATTATACCTGGATGCATCTTCCTAAATCACAAAAGCAGTAATTTACCTTCATTCTTAAAATCGCCCATTGTGAAACAGAGGAAATATAAACTCATGCTTGGCATCTAAGATTCCCTGCCAGGTATCATCCAGTTATCTTTTGAACCCTATCGCCCTCGATTCTTTTGACCCCGAGGTTGCATAAATGAATGGCCCCACAAAGGCAGATCTAGTTTGCACGTGAAATTTTCTTTTACCCACACATGGTTTATAAATTGTGAATGTTAGTTGCTTATTTCAATTAATTGCTAACATTTACACATTCTTGCAACTTTGGGGCTACGTTGCCATATGACACAAAGCTGGCCAATGAGTGCCCTTTTAAATGCAATAGCACGGAGAAACATGCCCCAGCTCACCAGAGCCTTCATCTGATTGGTTCTGTATCACTCAATCTGGTACTGGCTCAGTGCTTGTAAGCACATGAATTTATGACACTTGCCTTATACTACCTAGTGCTCCAGCAAATGCATCATTCCCAAATGCACAACTGTCTTTGCTTATGTTATTCAATCTTTGTAGAAGATCTCCCTACCTCTTTCCTGTCTTTAAGGTCCATTTCAAACACTGTATCTTCCATGAAGCTTTTTCTGACCACCCAGCTGGATGTTACTGCCCCATTTTTGAGCCTCAGTAACACTCTGTGGTTCTCCTATGGCCTGTATCCCGCTCTTCACTGGATTAGTCATTCGTATCCTTGACTTCTCGCCGTTTCTCAGGGAGGTGTATTGATGACGCTTGTCCCCCACTCCCCAAGGCTTTCTGAAGGAGGGGTTCTCCTCTTGACCTACACCTTCCCTCCTCCTCCCCAACGAGAGGGAGCAAGTCTCCATCTCTGATGTGGAGGGTGAGCTTGTCAGCAATGCCCGAGCATGTACCTTTGTCTAATTCTGAAGTTCAGGATTAGGAGGCCCTCTGTTGCCACACATCTAAGACAGGATTTTCCTTCCAGGTTTTACTGGCAAATAAAGTCAATATTTTCATCTGCTTGAATACTTATCTCACAACTGTTTTTAAACTCCAGTAGGGAAAAGGAGGGGTTTGTATTGGGCATCTTCTAACCCCAATAATGATTCACTCTGTCTTGAATCTTTCTGAAGTTCCCTGCAAAGTCATTTACTGTGCAGATAGGCACTCAAAATACATGTATCAAATTAAGTCAAAGGACACAATCAATGTGCATGAAGTTCGTGGAATGTAATTTCTCCTATGCTGTTTTCCTATAGACCATAACTTAAATTTCTTTTTTGTAGTTGTTAATGAAATACAAACAATTCTGTATATTACATAAAACATTTATTTCCTATTTACATTTCCATTTTTATGTAAATCATTGCACATCATATCACATATCAAAAAAAGAAAAAGAAGGGAAAAATATATAAACCCTACATATCAGTGAAGAAAGCATCATACCACGTGATATTTATCAGCAGTCTCGCAGGTCTCGTTTCTTGCCCTTTTTTGGTCTTCTAGTAGTTTCTTGACGAATGGTATCATACTCCAATATGGCCATTTTGGAAAGTCTCTGTAAGAATTGAGATGGTGCTCCAGCAAGAGGATCGCTGAAACCAGAACCTGTAAAGAAAAAGAAATCAGCTATTAAAGTTAAGTTAGTGCATGGAATGATAAGCTCTAAACTATCTCTTTCTCTAAATAAATAAATAAATAAATAATCTCTTTCTCAAATGACCATTAAACACTACTAGTTTTTGATATATCACATTCTTTGAATTAGCAATAGAAAGTGTTTACCTTCTAAAGTGAGTGTGATATTACATCATCTCAAAAAATATTTAACTAAAACAACCTATATGTTTGTATTTAATCATATAAAACTAAATCTGAGTCTGCACTTCTTTTTTTTAATGTTTATTTATTTTGAGAGAGAGAGCATGCATGCATGTGTACAAGAAGGGAAGAGGCAGAGAGAGGGGGGGCAGAGGGAAAATCCCAAATAGGCTCTGTACTGTCAGCACAGAACCCAACATGGGGCTTGATCCCATGACCATGAGATCATGACCTGCGCCAAAATCAAGAGTCGGACACTTAACTGACTGAGTCACCCAGGCACTCCCTGACTATGTATTTCTTAAAACATGGGATGGCTGTGGAATTTATTCCAAAGCAAAAGGCACAATCTCCATAAATAATTAACTTGTTTCATAATTTATATGCTCATCAAGTTATTTTCTCCAAATATGCTGTTTCTCATAAATGCTAAGTTTAGTAAAATAGCAAAATTGTAAAGTAAAATAATCATTCACTAACTGAACAGCATTACTCAAGCTTCTATTATAGAGTGGTAGTAATAATAGTAATAGATAACATATATTGAATGATCTCTCTGGGCCAAGTACTTTACATTTATTTCATCCATGCAACACTATAAAATAGGTAACTAGTAGTATCTTGGACCACAGATATAAAAAGAAGATTTACCAGGGCTAAAAAATTTGCCCAAGGGCAAAGGATTTGAACCCAGATTCATCAAAATCAAACTTCCTATGCAAATACTACATATTGCTCTAAATATGTAACTATGTATAAATACTTCTATTACAAAATATATAAAACTTTGAAAATATACAGATTCAAACTGTTTTAAAATACTACTACTTAATTTCAAATGGTCATGTATCAGAAAAACTATCTACAGTTATCCAGTATGGTTGTTATTTTTGGTTTGTTTTGTTATTTGAGTGTATAACATAAATAGAAAGTTCAGAGACAGACAAAGAGATAGAGTAGAGGGGAAGAATATGATCAGGATACCGTTCTTAGCAGTACAATGAACTTGACACTTAGAAAAACACTCTGGTGGAGTGCCTGGGTGGCTCAGTCAGTTAAGCCTCCAACTCTTGATTCTGGCTCAGGTCATGATCTCACGGTTTGTGAGTTCAAGCCCCACGTCCAGCTCTGCATTGACAGCACAGAGTCTGCCTGGGATTCTCTGTCTCCCTGTCTCTCTGCCCCTCCCCTGCTTGCTCTCTCTCTCTTTCTCAAAATAAATAAGCATTAAAAGAAAAACCTCTGGCTACAAATGCACTATATTCTAGACCATAAGCAAATGTCAAAAAATTTCAAAATTGCAGCTAAGTTGAAAGTTGTCAATATTAAGATAAATTTTAAATTCTCAAATACTTAGAAATTTATACATACATTCTAGATTATTCATCAGTCAAAAAAGAAATCAAAATAAACATTAAAATATCTGTAACTAAATAATAAAATATTACAAAACTTGTGCAATGCAACAGAAGTTATACATGCAGAGGTTTATACCCAAAATCTCTATGTCAGAAAAGAAGGCTTGAAAATTAATAAGCTAGATATAAGATATACATTAGGAGAATAATAAACCCAAAGAACATGGAAGACAAAAGCTAATACAGGAAAGAGAAGAAATCAATGAAGTAGAAAACAAATTTACAATAAGAAAGAGTTTTTAGATAAGTTCTTGATTGAAGAGACTAATAAAAGAGACAAGTCTCATAAGAGCAATCAAAAAATGCAGAAGGCACAAAGAAATAACATTAAAAAAGAGGAAAAGGTTGGGGGTTCCTGGGTGATTCAGTCGGTTAAGCATTTGACTTTGGCTCAAATCATGATCTCCCGGTTTGTGAGTTTGAGGCCTGCATCAGGCTCTTTGCTGACAGCTCAGAGCCTGGAGCTTGTTTCAGATTCTGTGTCTCCCTCTCTCTATGCCCCTCCCTGGCTCGTGCTGTGTCTTGCACTATCTCTCTCAAAAATAAACATTAAGGAAAAAAAAAGAGGAACAGGTAAAGCATGTGACTCTTGATCTCAGGATTGTAGTTGTGAGCCCCATATTGGATGCAGAGATTACTTATAAATAAAATCTTAAAAAAATAATAATAAAAATAAAAATAAATAAAAATAAAATCTTAAAAAAAAGAGATAGTACAGATAGAATAAAAACTAAATTTGTGCCAATGTATCTGAAAAATTCTATACAATGCAAAAAATTTTAGAAAATATAACTTACCAAAATTGATTGAAGAATTAGAATGCCTTATAAATCCTAAAATTAAAATGATTGGATCAATATTAAAATAATAATTCTTGCCTTGCAGTCTATTTTGTTTGATATTAGTGTACCTATACAATTATTTTTATTAGTGTTTGCATGGCTTATATTTTTCCATCCTTGTACTTTTGATCCTTCTTGCCCTTAAATTTAAGGTATGCCTCTTGTAAGCAACATATAGTTATTTTTCTCAGTCTCATACTTTGTTCTTTCATTGAAATATTTAGTCTGCTTATATCTAATTGTTGTTATGTTTAACTTTAAATCTTCAATCTCACTAGTTGTTTTCTATTTGTCCTGTGTTTTATGTTCCTTTTTTCCTCCTTTCTTGTCCTCTTTTGAAATGATCAAGTATTTTCTTGTTATTTATCATATTTCCCCTTTCTATTATTAGCTTGTTACTTGTATTATTTTATTGTTCTTTTAGTGGTTACCAGATTATCACATGTCTCTTTGATATATTACAATCTACTTTAATTTGTTATTTCACCATTTTCCAGATAATGCAAGTATCTTACAATATTTTAACTCCACATATGCCCCTCCTACCTCTGTGCTACTATTGTCAAGTATATTATTTCTACATATATTTTTAAACTTCGTAATACTACCGCTACCGCTTTTCATTCTTTCCCAAGTTGTACTTTCATTTTGTATCATTACTCCCTTAATATTTTTTAGTGAAGCTCTGCAGAAAAGAAATTCTTTCAACTTCTATCTGAATGAAAATGTATTTGTTTCACTTTTACTTTTAAAAATATTTTCACTGAATTGAATACAATTCAAGTTTGGCAGTTACTCTTTTAGCACTTGAAAATGCCATTCCACTGTCTTCTTGCTTCCATTGTCTACATTTAAAAAGTCAGTTGTGTATCTTACCATTGCTCCTTTGAAAGTAACATTTGTTTTTTCTCTTTTGGGTGTTTTGTTTTGTTTTGTTTTGTTTTAATTTAGTCTTTTTCTTATGATGTGCCTACCTGTGGTTTTCTTTGTTTCTATCCTGCTGAGGATTCATAGAACTTCTTGTATCTGTGCCTTTGTATTTTTCATCAATTTGGGAACTTATCAGTCAGTATGTAAATAGTGTTCCTGTCCTACTCTCTCTCCTCTTATTCTGGAATTAGAATTACACACAAGTAAAGCAGGTTTACCTTGTCATGTAATGACTTGCACACTCTGTTCAGTATTATGTTTTTTCTCCCTCCACTTTAACTGGGTATTTTCTAATGACCTTTCATCTTACTAATCCTATGATGTTGTTTTCCACTTTTTCCCCAACTTTAATGCAGTATATTTGACAAATAGAAATTGTATATATTTAAGGTATACAACATGATGACTTGATATACATATACATTGTTACATGATTACCACAATTAAGTTAATTAACACATCCATCACCTCAGGGTCCTGAGATAATAAAGGTATGTGCACATGGGACATAGCACCCACTAAGTTTACAAAATAGACAAGCAAAATATAAACAATTGAATCAGTGGAAAGGGACCTCAGGGTCCTGAGATAATAAAGGTATGTGCACATGGGACATAGCACCCACTAAGTTTACAAAATAGACAAAGCTTAAAAGAAGCATTAACAGAACAAAGCAATTAAATCAGTGGAAAGAAAGGAAGTTAAAAATATAAACATTAGACAACCTATTACATGTAGTAGGAGAAAAAAAATGAGCCAACTTACCCTTTGGTTTCTCCTGAATTGGTACTACAGTGCATGTCTCCTTAGTCTTCCTTGTCCTAAAATTATATATTTTCATAAAATAAGTTTATATAAATCCACAGTACACTAATTTTTAAAAAAAAATTTTAATGTTTACTTATTTTTGAGAGAGAGAGAGAGAGCGAGAGCGCAAGCATGCACAAACAGGGAGGGGGAGAGAGGGAGGGAGACAGAGGATAGGAAGCAGGTCCTGTGCTGACAACAAACAATCAGATGTGGGGCTTGAACTCATGACTTCAGCCAAAGTTGGACCCTTACACTTAACCGACTGAGCCACCCAGACGCCCCAGAGTACACTAATTTAAAATACATAGTAAGAGATAAGAAGTTGTCTCACTTGGTGAAAGACATCACATGGAAAATGAATAAACATTAAAGAAGGCGAATTCATTCTATTGTAACTAATCCAATCAGAAGCAGATATGAACCAACTCAATCCGTCCGTTTTTGTTAATAAATTTTACCAGTAGGTAAGTGTTATGTCTAACTTTCCCTGTATTTATCTTATTTTTTTTAAGTTTATTAATTATTTGTTTATTTTGAGAGAAACAGAGACAGCGCAAGTTGGGGAGGGGCAGAGAGGGAGAGAGAGGATCCCAAGCAGACTCCACACTCAGTGTGGATCCCCAGGCAGGGCTTGAACCCACGAAGCTATGAGATCATGAACTGAGCTGAAACTAAGGGTCGGATGCTTAACCAACTGAGCCAGCCAGGCTCCCCTATTTATCTTATTTTTATCTTAACTTTATCTAATCATGATTCAGGGAATGCTAAGAGGAAGGTAGTCAAGATTAGATTAAGAGAGTGTCTAGATATGCCAAACATCAACTATCACTTATTTGTGCACATTTTACCTATTAATCACCATAAAATCTGAATTTTATCTTAATTAACTTTTGTTCCTACTGGAACAGACCTACATAACAAGTGGGTTATTAGAGGAAGTGTGTCATGATTGAATCTGCTGTGGGGGAGATAATCCATGCGAACTGCAAACTTCCTGTAACTATATTAAACTTTAGAAGTCAGCCAGAATTTTTAGATGCCCTTTACCTCTAGGATTACCGCTATCAGTTATATTACCAGAGTGTGCCTTGAAAGTCACTGAAAATGTATGATTATAATTAAAGAAATTTGAAAACACAAACTTTTATCCACATTTTAAAAACAAATGTTCACAAATATTCATATGGAGGGAAACAAGGTATTAAGGGGTTGTACACAAGACAAAGAAAAATGAGTTACTTTCCTGCTTTGCCACGGCTGTTCCCTCACAGGACACTGTGCAATATGCAGAGGAGAATAAAATACTTGCAGGCAACTCGACAGGTTGTCACCAGAAGGGCTAAAATAAAGACACTTGTTTCAAAGACAGTGAAGAGAACTAACATTTACGTTTGCCAAGCACTTCATAAACATGATGGCACGAAGTCACCATTCTTGTACTTCGTATATGAAGGATACTTGTCATAGCATGAATTTAATATATTGAAATGATCTCTCACTGACTACATAAATTCACACTTGAGTCCATGTAAAATGGTGAGGAGTCATTGCACAGACAGCTAAATCGCAAATGGGAAGAAAAAAAAAAACTGAAATAGAGTGAAAACAGTAGGAAGTAAAATGAAGACTTAAGAGGTAATTGGGCTAATACAAGGAGTGCTTTCGGGGCTTCCAGTTTCTTAAAGATGGATCATATGCATTGGAAGAAGGGTAACAAGACTGGTCGGTACCAAGAAAAGTCCATTGCCAGAGGCAGTCCTACACCCTCCTCAAAGGGCCCTGGGGCTCCTGATGAAAATGACAAGAGTGAGGTGAATGTTAGGGACACAAGTGTGTCAGTAAAGATGGAAACTCACTGTCCTTAAGCAGGTATTTTACTCATGTTTCCAAAAGCCTCTCTCCTTTCTATCCCTGCCATTCCTCCTCTTTTCCCATTATCTACTCCATTAGCAGCTTACTCTTTCTCTTCCACTATCCCTCAATCTGCCTTATTGCATCATTGACTCATGGAAGAAAGAGTAATTTTGCTTTTAATATTTTTATAGCTTGGAAACCCGCCCTCAGATAATATTAAAAATGATGGGAAAGGCTTCATGTATGCTGTTGTTCATTGTGATATTACTTAGGAAACCAAAAAGTCAAAGCAACTTGTAAGTACAATGATAGGAAACGGTTAAATAAACCATGGATCTATCAGTGGGATATAATGTAGCCAGTAAGGACCGTCTGAAGATTATGCACTGACCTGAAAAAGTGAATATATGTGATAATAAGTTAAAAAGGCAGAGTAAAAAATTGTAAGTACACTAAAATCACAGCTAAAATAAAAGTCCATGAAAATGAGGAAGAAAAGAGAACCAACAGCCGATAATAAAAATGGATATGTGAGGATATGTATATTATCAAAGCATTGTTTTTCTTTTTCCAAATTTTCTTCAAAGTTCTTATTTGTTTTCATAATTTCATAAATAATGCACAACTTTTCATTTTTAGCATATTGTAGTTCTCCATTTATATGACCAAAATTTATTTCAAGAGTAATTAGCAAGAACAGTAACACTAGTGGAAAGCTCAAGAAATATATTCTAAGACTTCGATATTTGTGTGCTACATATAACTAGCTGACTTTAAAGCACACTTTAGCAGGAAAAGAATATGAAAACATAAATTTTCCCCTAAAGAGAGTAACAACACAGACGACTATAAATGCTTTGTCTTTTTCAGGCTGGCAGAGTGAACAAGTACTAGACATGCAATAAATACCTGATGAATAAATAAATAAACCAAAGCAGCAACAAAATAGAGTACGAGACTGTCTTACTATAGATCCCTTTGGAGAAAGGGGTTTTCTTTTCATGGTATGTCAGTCAGTCTGATTTATAAAAAGGAAGGCAATTACGATAATGTTTTTAAACACCAATATTCAAAGTGGGTGGGACTTTTCTGGCTGACAAACTCCATTCTGATAGTCAGTGCAGGGTTTTCATTAGGCTGACATCTCATTTAGAATCTCCCCTCACACTACATCAGTCAAACTATAAACAAAATATTGCAAAGAGTTCATTTATTTTCATTGTGAAAAATCCCAATATTCTCATAGGCAATCTATTCTAGGGCAACGAATACTTTCAAAAGGATTTCCTTAAATCCTTTCAGGAAATGTCACTTGAAAACTGAGAAAAGTGCCTACTTGTCAAACTGAATAAAACTGCTACCTTAGATTTAAAAAATTAAATCTTTTATGAAAAAAAATATTAGTGGGCAAGAAAGAATTAAATTCACTAGCCAGGAAACCTCTATACTACAAATAAATGTCAAATGAAAGAGAATTGAGTAGAAATGGTGTACCTGACTGGAGGCATCTCGGTATTAGTATGCAGCAGTCTTGGATGAACTTCCAGTGGACTTGAACTTACACTTTTTTGGCAACTTTGCAGTCCTAGTAAATATGGCATTTTGACACATTCTTTGAGCTCTTCTAGACCAAATGCTGTGGTGTATTCAAATTAAAAATAGTATCATAATCAACTATATTATTTCTTCATGAAATGTCTTCTTTTGTGACATACTAAAACACATAATACAATATACTAAATCAGTCATTAAGTAGAGAAAAATAAAGCTACTGTAATTTATCTAGTGTCTTTCCCAAGAGAATACCTTTTAACTCCTACTATAGGGACTGTAGGGAAGAGATGATTAAGGGGCTGATTAAGAAGTAGAATAAGGAAAAAGGACAGCTTCATGGATCTCCCAGTCGTCACTGTCCCCTGCCTCATTATTTTATATAATTATAATTTCCAGAATATTAGAGACATTTATGTTGAAATAGAGTTTAAAAGCACTTTTAAGACTCTTATATTACCTGCTATTTTAAATCTTTCTACCTTCCTGCTTTTATGTAAAGTAAGAGGTATAAATACATGATTATTGAGCTAGCAATGACAGATAAATGAATTTTACTTCAGGCATTGATTTTAATTTTCTCTCTGCAAAATTTCATACCAAATCTAGGAACACTAACACTGAAGCATCAAGATTGCTTCTCCTATTGACCTCACATAAAATTGGACAAAGACACTGTCAAATTATTAAAACAAAACAAAACACAATTTCAAAATGAAGGCAATGAATGGAAAAAAAACAGATTAAGAAATTAAAGGTTCGGGTGATCTTTAAATTAAATGTTGAGAATTGGTTTTTAAACTTCCCCTCTCTCTTTTTTTGTTTTAAGCGTGGGGGGTGGGGGAGGGGCAGAGAGAGCGGGAAAGAGAGTCCCAAGCAGGCTCCACGCTCAATGCAGACCCTGATGCGGGGCTTGATCCCTTGACCCTGAGATCATAACCTGAGCTAAAATCAGGAGCCGGACACTTAACTGATGAGCCACCCAGATGCCCCTTAAGCTTTCCCTACTAAGTAAGTCTAGCACAGGAATAAAAATAGTATCTAATGGGACTGGAGTTATATTAAATGTTCCAAATGCTATTTTGCAACGTTTGATATTTTCTCATTTGGAAAAAAAAAAAAACTGCTTCTCCTGATCAAAAAACATACAAATTTTCTTTTCAGCAATTAGATTTGGGTATAAAAGGGCAGATAAACTAAAGTATCTTTAATGGGAATCTAGTGAAAACGTTGAAGAAATAGAGCAACACATTCAAAACCAGGAGTGATGAAATGGGTTGGGGAGTTTGAATTTTGTGATTTTGAAGAATTACATCTCTACTTATAAAGCTGAAGACAGAATTCAGGATAAATAAGATAATACAATTATAACTTGAAATATAAATTAAAATTAAGCTATTAATACATTCATACACATATCAAAAGTCCTCAAATCAGTCTTTATCGAGCATCTATAGAATATAAGATACTTTCCATATAACTCGCACAAAAACCAAAGTTTTGGTTAGAATTACTAATACAAAAAGGTGCTGTCAAAGATTTGGGTTTCTTAAAACATAAAAACCAACTTGAGGTGCTTAAAAACAAACACAATTTAGGAAAAGTAGAATGACTCAATGGAGATATTACTGCACTGATATCAAGAGAAGTAGTTCTTCAAAATTTGCTTCCATCATGATTACAGAATTACATTAAGTAAATTAATTCTAATTTGCTTCCATTTTTATTTTCCATAAGCTCAGGATATTATCCTGACATAAATGTTACAAAAATTATGTCTCTCGACTGCTTAAAAAAAATACATGTGTAAATTGAAGGCACTATTGTTATATTTTCTTCAGCAAAATAATTGTAAAAAAACAAGTTACCTTTCTTCATTTTTTGTGTTTCCAAAACTGCTTTCCTCCAACTACTCTCAAACAGAAAACAGTCAAGGGAATTTCTGGTGACATTAGAAGTATCAAATTTGATTTCAGGGGATAACACTGGCATTGTTTCTTCTTCTTTCAGCAGTGTTGATGAAAGTGAGATGCTACTTCAGATACAGGACACAAAATACAAAAAAAAAAAAAGTACTGCAGAGATAAATACTCTTTCTAATTTGTTTTCCATCATGCAGAGTAAATACTAACATAGACTTACAAGAAAAGTTCACTTATAACATGTAAATACATATTCTTGGGATTTTAAAGTAAGAGGCCTTTAATAATGCAGCTAAAACAGATAGTAGGAGTCACTTAAAACATTTTAATAAATTCTTTCAAACCCTAGGTCACAGATATTTAGCAATATAAAAAAAACTGAAGTCCAATGGCAAGTTATTGTGTACAAGACAATAAAATGCTTAGGACTCTCTCAAATATATTACCATTATACACAATAACCAAGTGGTACTTATCTCTGGGATGCAAGGATGGTTCAACACCCCAAAATTAATGTGATATACCACTTTAATAGAATAAAGGATAAAAAAAAAATCACATGATCATCTCAATAGATGCAGAAAAAGCATTTGATAAAATTCCACACTCTTTCATGATAAAAATCTCAACAAACTAGTAATAGAAATTAGCTCAACATTATAAAGGCTATACATGAAAAGTCCACAATTAATGTCACAATCAATGGTGAAGAATCAAAAGCTTTTCCTCTAAGGTAAGGAATAAGGCAAGGATGACCACTCTTACCACTTCTATTCAACTATAAGTAATAGCCAGAGTAATCAGGGAAAAAAAGGAATCTAGACTGGAAAAGAAGTAAAACCATCCCTATATACAGATGACAGAAATCCTAAAGACTCCACCAAAAAAATGATAGAACAAATAAAGGAATTCAACAAAGTTGCAGGATACAAAATCAATAAACAAAAATCACTTGCACTTTTATACACTGACAATAAACTATCTGAAAAGGAAATTAGGAAAACAACCAAATTTACAATAGCATCAGAAAGAAAAAAATACTTAGGAATAAACTTAACCAAGGAGAGAACAACTTATACACTGAAAAACAGTGATGAAAAATTAAAGACAAAAACAAATGGAAAGACATCCCTCATGTTTATAAACTGGAACTTAATTTTGTCCAAATAACCATACTACCCAAAATGATCAACAGATTCAATGCAATTGAAATCCCAATGCATTTTTTACATAAATAGTAAAACAAGTCAAAAATTCATATGGCTTCACAAAGGACCCTAGATAGCCAAAACAATCTTGGAAAGAAGATCAAGCTGGAGGCATCAAACTTCCTAATTGCAAAATATATCACAAAGCTAAAGTAATTAAAACAATATGGTACTGTTAGAAAAAACAGACCACGGGAAGAATAGAATCCAGAAGTAAATCGACATGTATACAGTCAGCTGATCTTTTACAAGGATACCAAGGGGTACACAATAAGGAAAAGGCAATGTCTTCAACAAATGTCATTGGAAAAACTAGTTATCCACATGCAAAAGAATGAAACTGAACCCTTACCTTACACCATGTACAAAAATCAACTCAAAATGGATTAAAGACTTAAACCTAAGACCTAAAACTGTAAAACTCCTATAAGAAAACATAGGGGAAAATCTTCATGACATTGATCTTGCAAGGATTTTATGGATATAACACCAAAGACCCAGGAAATAAAAGCAAAATATAGATAAGTGGGACCTACACAAAACTAAAAAGCTTCTGCATAGCAAAGGAAACAATCAACAGAGTGAAAAGGAAACCTCTGGAGAAAAACATTAGGAAGAAAATATTTGCAAATCATATATCTGATAAGGGGCTAATATCCAAAATATATAACTCCAAAGCAAAACAAAACAAAACTAATAACCTTGGTTAAAAATGGGCTTGGACTTGAATAGACATTTCTTCAAAGAAGACATACAAATGGGCAAAAGGCATATGAAAAGATGCTCAATGTCATTAACCATCAGGGCAATGCAAATCAAAAGCACAGTGAGATACCACCTAACACCTATTATGATGGCTACTAGAAAAAAATTGTTTAATGTTTATTTATTTTAAGAGAGAGAGAGAGAGTGAGTGCTAGCAGGGGAGGGGAACAGAGAAAGGGAGAGAACCCCAAGCAGGCTCCACACTGTCAGCACAGAGCCTGATGTGGGGCTTGATCCCATGACCCTCAAGATCATGATCTGAGCTGAAATCAAGAGTCAGACACTTTACTGAATGAGCCACCCAGGCGCCCTAAAAAAATTTTCTTAAAGACAGGTATTGATGAGGATGTAGAGAAATTGGAACTGTTGTCCACTATTGGTGGAAATGCAAAATGGTGCAGCCACTATGGAAAAGAGTATGGAGGTTCCTCAAAAAGTAAAAGTAGAACTACCCTAGGATCCAGCAATCCCACTTCTGGGTATTAACACAAAATAACTGAAATCAGAATATCGAAGAGATACCGGCACTCCCATACTCACTGTTGGCACTCTTTACAATGGCCAAGATGTGAAAACAATCTAAAAATCCACCAACACCTGAATGAATAAAGAAAATGTGGTATATATATATATATATATATATATATATATATATATACACACACACACAATGAGATATTAATCAGCCAGCCACAGAAAAAGAATAAAATCTTGAAATATGTAACAACATGATGAACCTTGAGGACATTCTGCTGAGTGAAATAAGCCAGTCATAGAAAGACAAATACTGCAAGATTCCACTTATATGAGGTATCTAAAATAGTGAAACTCATAGAAGCACAGAATGGTGGTTTCCAGGGGTTGGGGGGAGGAGAAAATGGGGAGCTGCTAATTAGAGGGTATAAAGTTTCGATTATGCAAGATGAGTAAATTCTAGAGATCTGCTGTTCAACATTGTACCTATAGACAACAATACTGTATTTTACACTTAAAAATATGTTAAGAGGGTAAATCTCATGTTACCAGAAAAAAATTAAAATGTTAAAAAATATATGTAAGTAATAAATCACTGAATTCTACTCCTGAAACCAATATTGCGCTGTATGTTAACTAAAATTTTAAACAAAAAAAAAATTTTTAAATGACAAATATGGAGTAAATTATAATTTTCAAAGTCTTAAAAGACTCTTAGAATCACAGTCCATACTCTATTCTAAGTCCTTCTTTCTCCTTTTACTTGTAAAGGTGAAAATGACCAGAGAATTTTCTTTCAGCCCCAAGGCAGACCCTCCTTCTCTTCTTAGTAACCTCTCTATCAGGACAGAAGAAACAACCAGAGACTAACAATTAAATGCCTCTTGGGATATTTTTCAAACCAGGTTAAGAGAAAACTTTCTTAACATGGAGTATTTTTAAAAAGGTTCACACAATGAATACAAGAGGGTTCATCATACTATTATCTCTACAGTTTTTTGTCTATGTTTGAAATTTTCCTTAATTAAAAGGAGTAAAAAAGCCCACAGATGCAAGAATGTACAACTTAAGGAATGTGCTGGGAAACACACACACACACACACACACACATACACATTTTTGATCCGATGTTTCCTCAAAATATAACCAACTATAGTGGAGGGAGAAAAATTAAGGTTACTTCATAAGTCTTAAAAAATAAAAAGGAGTGGGGCACCTGGGTGGTTCAGTTGGTTGAGCATCCAACTCTTGATTTCAGCTCAGGTCATAATCTCACAGTTCGTGGGTCTGAGCCCTGTGTCTGCCGGCAAGGAGCCTGCTTGGGATTCTCTCCCTCTCTCTCTGACCCTCCCCTGCTTGTGTACATGTTCTCTCTCTCTCTCAAAATAAATAAACTTTAAAAAAAATTAAAAAATAAAAAGGGCTGATAGAAAAACCTCACAGAGAAAGAGATTTTTTAATTAGGTTCTAAGGCAGACCATAAAAACTCACTCAAAACAAATGCTTTTGCAAATTAATGGTAAGGAGACTCAGGATTGAGATAAACTAACTGTTTAAAACAGCTATAAAACAATTACTATATTTTCAAGGCACCTCAAAACATGGTTGTGTTTAAACATTTTTTTGTATTAAAAATATTCCAAATATTTTTTTAAATTAAGATTATCTTTTTATCACCTAGCTTAGAACTAGAAGGACATGTTAATTAAATGTTTGTTCATTATTCATTATTCATCTATTCATTCATTTATGACAATCCTACGTCAGGCACCAGATAAGGTCTCTGTTCTGAAGCTTAGTAAGGGGAGACAGACATTAAATGAGCAAAGAAATTAATAAAGTTTACTTTAGATAAAATACAACTAAAGTATAGCTGATTCTTATTATTCACAATAGTTATGTCCTATAAAGTTGCCATAAACGCTAAAGTAGCATATATAGAACCACTGCTCCTAGAGGAAATATGAAATTAGGTTCCTGTGAGCCTCTGGTCACAACATTTTTATCAACTGACCAATACTTTCTTTTTAGTGTGTTTCTGTTTAAAGATACCTTATTTAATATATATTGTTGAGTCATTAACATCAGACCCATGGCCAACAGCAGTATAACTCATGCCTGAAGGAAGCTTATCTAACACATGTATTTTCTCCATAAGACACAGCATCATCTTCTTGTGCTTAGGAACACCAGACAGAACTTCAGCACTACACTTCTAGCAAAATCACCAAAAAAAGCACAAACATATAAAAACACATGGCACTAAATAGATAGTGAAAAGGACATTTCCATACAGTTTGAACACTGTAACAAGAAGGTGGACTATGACCTTGTTCGACCTCAGTGGCAAAGTGTATGTCAGGCAACACAAATTTTTTACAACTCTGCACATGTCCGCAAGTGACTGGGAATGCACCACAACTACTGATTTCCGAATTACAAATAGATTTTAACGAGTAGGTGAATTAGTAAATACAGAATCCATGAATATTAAGGATTGACTATAGTTCATCATGGCAATGTGCCAAGGGGAAGGAAGTACTTTGGACTGGGTAGCTAAGGAAGACCATATAGATGAGGTGGTCTTGAGCAGAGATCCAAACGGACCAGAAGCAGAGATATT